AAAGTACGTGCGCACGGATTCGAGCGTAGTATTTGGGATGCCTGCAAATCCGGTGGACTGTCGACTTCACCACGATCACGGATTGATACAGATGCTAACTTTTTGCACGAGTCTGGGTTGCGGCCTTTTAAGTGACACGCAACTAGAACGCGAGAATAAAACACGGTCATGGATTTTTTGGGGGGTTTTGTCGGAAACCAATAGATGCAACACGTAGCAAATTTTAAGTATGTGGAACTTTTGCCAATACACCGATAATATAGGAATTAAGTGTGTTCTCAATGTATGGCCATAAGTTATTGGATTTCTGTTCGCCATCTCCAGGATTACTTAGTTAAATGGAGTAGTAATGTGCTACGTGAGGCATTATCTGGCCATCGAGCTGTCTGGAAAACCATGACAATTTTTAAGTCTTGCCACGTCATTGGGAGGTTTCCAAGCACATAGGAAATCGGCTTAAGACTGTGCATCCTATCGTAAAAATTAATTTAATGACGTTTCAAACAAAATGAACTACATTTACTACACACCCAGACGTAACAACAATTTGTGGGACTCTGCATATGTCACGAGCCGCCAGCTGATCACAAAATCGCTGGTCAGCCGCCGGTCCCGGGTCGGCTTGTGGCCGACCTGGCTACCGGCTAGCCGCCATCACTGTTGGTGGGCGATTACACAGATGACAAGCCTTCAACAGCCAATTGATAAATTTGTGGTAATTTCAATGGAGATTTATGTGGCAGCTGCAACACATGTCACACAGCATTCTCCAGCTACGTACGTGTTTCGGTTTAATGAAGCTCTGATTGCCTCCGTTTTGACGCTACGTAGCTAATTTTCTCGGGAAACCCAGTGTAACTTGCTGTATGCTTGTGTCAATTTTCGAAGTATGTCCTGAGCATCACAGAAAAGAAAACAACGTTGGAACATTTGGGAAACGAACTGCTTGATCAAGCTGAATGCTTAATGTATAATTCCACAAAATGGCTATCGACCATTCATTAAAAGTAACATCAGCGCCCTCTGAAGAGATCGCTGCATTACTCTGTATGACTGCCTTGCCGACAGATGACACCAGTCCTGGGTATAGAGACAAGCAAGGGATATTGCTTTTTGAAGGGCTACATGCATGCAGTCGAAGAACTCTCCAGCGGCATTAGTAATGTCACTACCGGCGTCTTCAATCGTATTTACTTAAGAGATAACTTCAACGTCAAGTCGAGATTTAAGCTCCTCCTGCGCCAATTCTACAGTGCAGATGTCAAGAAGTTTTCTTCGGCGACGCTGGCGGCGAATGAAATAAACGCCGACGTGGCTAAGGTTACAAGAAAACGCATCCAGAAACTAGTCCAAGCAAGTGCTCTGCAAAACGCGGCTCTGGTCCTGGTCAGCGCATTGTACTTCAAGGGCCTGTGGCTGACTCCGTTCGACAAGACCGTGAAGGAGCCGTTCCTCACGGCCTCAGGGGACAAGCAGGTCGACATGATGAAGCTTGAAACCCGGGTGCCGTATGTAAAGATGTCTAATTTTGATGCGATCGCCTTGCCGTACACGGACAAAAACTATGTTATGCTGATCTTGCGTCCACTGACACGTAACATGGCTGCCGTTTCACGTCTAAGGGACGATCTCGATACCCTCGATGTCGCCGACATTATGAAGCGTTTGCGTTCCTCGTCCGTACAAATAAGTATGCCTCGTTTCAAGATGAGAGCAAGTTACGGACTAGTGGGAACCATGTCACAATTGGGAATCCGCAAAGTCTTCACGCGGCAGGCAGATCTGGGTAACATTGCCGATAAGCCGCTAGTTGTTGACAGCATCATCCACAAGGTGTTTATTGAGGTGACGGAAAAAGGTACTGAAGCTGCCGGAGCGGCAGCTGTCGTTGTCGGGATTACAAGCCTGCCGCCTCCACCCATTCAGTTCACTGCAGATCGTCCCTTCTTTGCCATGGTCTGGAACAAGAAACACAGGATCAACATGTTCTCCATTTTCATGACTTCACCGCAGACGTTTGGCTAACGTTATGTGAGCTGATCGCGAGCGACTTTTGTTGCACCCGTTGGTATTTTGTGAATAGTTTAAGCATGCTTTGGGTGCACTTCATGTTGCACCTGCTTTCGTTATGGTCGCGCACTGAATAGGAGACCTATTACCATTCACGTTGTGACACCCAAGTGGAAGGTTGCAAAAAGTCCTCTGATATCACAGCCGTGCCGTAGCCTTTAGGTTTCATTTGCCCGAGAATACTGGTGCGAATCTAGAAAAGGGTGTGCTCCATTAAAAGACAGGTCAGCCCAATCTGAGTTTGTAAAATTTGCACAGTAGTTTTCTATCTTTAGAAGACGATGTTATGATTGCTTGCTGTGTATTTCAGATTGCTTCTAGTGCATTTCAAGCAGAACTGTTTGATGAATCTTTTCGTCTTGCGACGCACCACTGTTTGATACAATATACCTTCCCCTCGTATTTGCGTCCGTGGAAGTGTCTGATTTGGATGCGATCTCCCTGCCGTGCCGCGATCAATGCTAACTTCGGCTCGACCGTCACCAACAACCAGGCCGCGTCCATCTGACCATGCGTCTACTGGGGGTGCGTCGTTCTTACCCTGCGTCTACTGGCACACAAAATGGCTGACCCCTCGCGTCTTTTGATTGACTGTACGAATGCCACTGATGCCGTCAATATCATGAAGCGTTTGCGTTCACTGTCTGGTCAGTTGAGCGCAACTCGGTTCAAGATAATAGCGAACTACGAACTGAAGAAACCCATTCCATTTGCAAATTTTCAGACTTTTCACGTCGGTGGAAGATCTGGTTGAAATTGCCAGCGGGTTTCAGACCGTCTACAGCATTATCCACAAGGTAAATATGCCGGTGAAAGGGTGAGGAGAAATGAATGGACGCTGCTGGAGCGGCAGTTATCACCTTCGGGACCAGGAGCGTGCAGCATCTGCCCATTCAATGCGCTGCGAATCGCCCTTTCTTTGTCCTTGTCCGGAACAAAAGCCAAATGATGAACTCGTTCTCTGCGTACGTTGCTTCACCATAGACGTATGGTTAACATTCTGCGCTCTGTTTTTAGACAGGTCATATGACGTTTGTTTTATTAGTGCCGATCATTTAAGCATGTCGTAAGTGCGTAATTTGCTACAGCCCCTGCTAATATGGCCCCGTGCCAGTATGAATGCCCAGCGTTGTACAAGTTGAAGCAACCGATTGGTAAATTGGAAACGATTTGTAATGTATAGTTATGTATGCTTTATATTTCACTTAACATATAAGCTGGGGTAAGGGTAGGAAACCGTTCGTCACTGGCAAACACAGCCCACACTGGGGTAAATACTTCTTGTTTACCGTTGCGTCACTGTTTAAAATAATGTAACCACTCTTTGTCTTTCAAGATTATTGTGGTGTTGAGGGAAACGTTTGAAGAGAAAGGAGCACAGGTGTGCGTCATCTGGCGCTTCAGATAGGTACCTTTTCCGAGAATATCATGGCATGATGTGCTGAAGGTACCGATATGATATAAACAAACGATATGATGAATATGATCCAATACACGGTGCTCTTATTCCATTAAGGCGAGAATGGGTTCATTCACAAACCTATCTGGTAACTCTTCAAAATTCTCAGACTGTTGGTTACATGATTTACAACCATCTGTTGTCCGCATTGACCCACCCTGCCGGACAGGGCCAGACAGTGAAGGGAACCGGGAGGCGTGGTCTCGACATCTGGGGAACAGTGCCAGAGAAGGTCGTCTGTCTGCGGTCCCCTGAAGTGAACAGGAACATGGCATCACGGATAGCTATTTACGGGGCTGTAGCTCAAGTGGTAGAGCGCTCGCTTAGCATGTGAGAGGTACGGGGACCGATACCCCGCAGCTCCAAAAATGGAAGCTTTGGCACACGGGACATGTGTGGGAGGAAGTTTAGGGGTGAGTGGAACACTGCGAGCTCCACACATTCTGTATGCTTTTACACAAGCTATCGAGATATTGCAATGTGCGACGACAATAACGTACTTGAGTTTAAGAGCCCAGTGCCAAGGCGGTTCTTCAGCTTCATCCCATACATAACTCTATTGAAAACGCAGCATTTGGGGCTTCGGGGTAACGCTCTCCGTGCCTCTCACATGCCAAGCGTGCGCTCTACCATTTGAGCTCCAGAATTCTCTGCTATCGGCTCTCAAATGTGGAAATTATGCCCCGCTGTCTGCCCCGCTGGAGACCCCATTCCGGAGTGGCGGGCGGCGTAAGTAACGCAGGATGGTCTACACCCTCTTATTTTCAATGGACCAAAGTTTAGTTCCAATTTAAAGAGTGTTCATGCTGAGATGACTAAGGGTTCATGCAAAATAAGACAGTCTCATTGCACAAATATCTTCACAGAACTGATAGCATTTAAAGCACGATCACTTCTCGGACAGAATACATTTAATATGACTAAACTTCTGAAAATGAAGTGTCCAAAATCGAATGCTTTCCGCTTTTTATTTTGTGGTAAAATTTAAGTGTAGCCCGGGGCCCGGAATATGACCCATAATATGGTCAAAGCCCTCATGACTTGATGGCCCTTTCATGGTGATATCCTGGAGCCACTAGTACCCACAGCACCGCTGCCAACGCCTCTTCCACGCGGGTTTCGCCTAGTGTTATGCATCCTATGCATCGCTTTTTCCAAAAACACAAATTTATCGCCCTACCGTAGTACATGTTTATCTTCAGCTTAAGTTTCAATACTTGAAACAAAATGGCGCACCTTCCGAATGAACTTACGTCCAGAGTTCATCACGCTTAAGTTATCGTTGCGTTTTCGCTACCATTTAAGGGCAGCTATGTCACTTTTCAAGGGTGGATAACCGCCAGCGCGGCAGCGGGGACCGGGGATCATGAGCTCTGACAGAAATGTCGCACAAAGGCCACATGATGCAACCGGCCGGCCATCGGCACCGAGCCGTGCGCTGCGGCCGTCGGACCGCTGACAGTCAGGATTCAGGCGGCGACACATTCTCTGTGGGGCCTGGACTCCACCGGGTGAGCGCTGCTCGGCGGTGGCTGCCGTTGCCGTTCTGCGGAGCAGCTGCTAGCGGTCATCACGCGACGGCTTTACCCCAGCCTGCATCAGCAGGTCACCGCATCGAAGTCATGCTGCGTTCAAAGCAAGGTAAGTCCAAAGCGATATTCTGCGCGCGCAATTTTCTTACGACTCTGACACTGGCACGGGTGGCCAGCTGGTTACGACACGCTCGGGTTGGGGTGGGGCAAATTCGACCCTTTAGGGTCTGAAAAAGGGCCATCTAGAGAACCATCTAGGGGCAGCTAGAGAACCCAATAGACAGGGCAGTGTAAGACAGGACAGATAGGACAATAGGTCCATATGGACTTCCTTTTTCGGACGTTTGACCTATCCAGGTTGTACAACTTTGGATCAAATAGGCCAAAACGTCATATTTTGCAGAGGTTATAATTGCATTACTTGCGCCCATGAACTGCTGTATCATGCTATTGCCGAGGCCATGTTCAATAAAGAGCAATAGTGGCTATGTCGTCTTATAAGCGGATTGCATGTCGCGGAATGCGGCCATCCGGAGATTACATCCATATCTATTTCCACGCAACACGCAACTTGCGAGTGAGAGCTTTGCTTAGTAGTTGTGGTTGTAGTAGTTGTGATTGTAGTAGTTGTGGCTGTAGTAGTTGTGGTTGTAGTAGTTGTAGTAGTAGCAACTTAGTTTTGGACTGCATGGAGAACGGCGTACAGCACTCTACTCTACGCAGCGCGGTTGCCATCTTCGACGCCCAACTCATAGAGTGACCTAATGGGATGAGTTTAAAGTATCTCAATATTTCTACGTAATTTGTTTCACATGTTGATTCGTAGACGTCCTCATTTGTGTTTTTTCCCTCGTTTTGATTCACCCTATTTAACTCCTAATTTTATTTCATATTTAACCTAGTTTCCCAGTCAGGGCTTAACGCAGGGCTTTCAATGACGTACAACATTCCTTGTCGTCGCAGGTGTCCAACAATTGGCACAGAGGCTCCATCCAGCTCAGCAAAACGAACCCTGTCTAAAACGAGTTCCCGTTCTATACTGGGGCTTCTGACTGCCACTGGGCCTTCCAATACCTCCTTTTGACCTCTCATCGTACACTCTCAAATCCACTTTCGTTGTCAGATGGCCTCCCAAAACACAAGACGCCCTCTTACATTCGGGGTCCCGTTCTTATTCCTGTTCAGCAAATGCTACCCTTGCCGGCCCAGGTCACTGTCCGACATGGGACCCTCTGTTCGGCACTGTGGGGGCCTGATCCACACCGGAGCCGTATTGTTTCAGGGGTCCCGCCGATGTAAACCGCGGGTACCGACCGTTTCTCTGCTATGGGAATGGGCCCCCGGGCTCAGACTGACACGGAGCAGACTGGTGTTGGTGGTCTGGTGCAGACTGGTGTTGGTAGTCTCTGACCAATATAGAGGCCCGCATCGTCCTAGGGTGTTCCACATTGGCACAAGAGGCCCTATGACTGATACTCTCGGGCCCAGCCATGCGGGTCGGAGTCCTCAATTTATCCTCTGCCAGCTCTTCGTGCCCTCCAATCAAGCACTTAATCGTCAGGGCCGAGGGTTATTTCGGTCCCTCTGCAGGCCCTAACGGACACTGCCCCTACCCAATTTGGGGTCCCTTACCTATACAGGATCCTTGTCAGGCACTCGGATTTTCAGACCGATACGGGGGTCCCTCATTGACTCGGGGGCTCGGCCAATGTAAATCGTTGGCCCGGCCTTACCCCTGCCTGAAAAATGGGCCCTGAGTCTCAGGCCTGACGCTGAAATAATCTGCCGGTGAATGCGCCTCCACCACAGCAATGCAACTTCGCAACATAGGCCGGGGGGTTGAGCGGGGAAAATTAACCATGAATACGCTAAACAATACGTTTCTCCCCGGAGTTGGCCCACTTTTTGCTTAACGTTATGGACTTTGAGTCCCCCAAACCGAATAAGGAGCTACACCCCTACTCCAACACGCTTCCTTGTTCCATCATTGCGGAAGATGTTGACATTGGGCATCATCGTCATTTTGATTAGCGTCGATTGGCGGAAGCAGGTTCCGGCAATCAGCGTGGGGTGATTTTATTCGGCTTCAGACGTTCTTAAACGTGTGCAGGCTCGGAATTAACGAGTACAAGATGTGTGCGACTATTAAAGGTTGCCACGCCCCCCCCCCCCCCCGATGGTAGCCGCAAGGCGCGGTGCAGGCAGCAACTCACCATCCTCGCTATGCACGTTGTCGGGCGATTGCCGCTATAACATTGGTCGGCTGGTGTCGGTCGTCGGGTTCTCGTAACTGTTCCATCGATTATTCACGTCAAAGTGGAGGTCAGCACATTTCAAGGGTTCCTCCAAATGTAAACGGCTGATAACCTTATTGCGTTTTTGGGTCCCAATTTCGACCAGCTTCAGTTTTCATAATATGATAAAATTTGGAAACAGAATCACGCAACTTCTTGCAGCCTGGAGAACCTCCATCATAAGTTGTTAAGTGGATTTGCGAGGATCATCATGCATATATATAAGACGCTACCAACAGTCACACACACACACACACACACACACACACACACACACACACACACACACACACACACACACACACACACACACACACACACACACACACACACACACACACACACACACACACACACACACACACACACACACACACACACACACACACACACACACACACACACACACACACACACACACACACACACACACACACACACACACACACACACATATATATATATATATATATATATATATATATATATATACATGAGTCATAGGGCTCACGAGTCAAAAGGCAACGAGCCAGAACTGAAGTAGATCTTTGGTTCTGAAAGCTGCATGAGTCGTGAGTCAAATGATTAAATGCAAGCAATGAGTCTGAACTGAGCTGAATCAAAACGTTTGGAAGGGTCGAAGGTCATGAACTGAATCGAATACCGGAATATGTAAACCGGTGTTGGGTCGGTTGAATTTTTTTAGACGAACACAAGCCATAAAAATCGTACGCACTCCATTGTTTGGCTCAAAAGTTTAAACAAGGTCGTTCAGGTCAGTGAATACCTCGAGCTTTATAACCTCACAATTACAAACGTGATGATGTCGCCGAAACCAAGAAACTCAAAATGTGTGCAAAAAGCTAACAAAAGTAGCCTTTTACACCCATTCGTTACACCCATTTACACCCATTTGTTGTTACCAAGCTACTAAAACAAGCGTTCTAGTCGAACAGCTGTTTGCTTTAAATATTTACCTGTCCTTCATGAACAACTCACTGCCGATGACTTGTTTTAAGTCGCCTTTTCGATTGCTTCAATTTTCCAAGGCACCGTGCAAAAGTTGTTCGACCTCTTCTGAGGCTCTGTGATTGTGCTAGCTTTAGACGCTGGTGGTCACATGGCGAGGCTGTTAACCGGCACAGGTCGGTAGCAATGTTTTAACATTGTTACCAGGTGTTAACATTGTTTGTTGGTAACAATGCTAATATTTCGTATTGTTTTCCACCATAAGATTGCTTATTACGCTATCCACAGCTATGCACAAATACAGCTACATCACACAACTATTCACTGATAAATAGGTTTCATCCGGTGTAACCAGCGGAGACGGGAGCTGAGAAATGGTCAAAAATTGCATAAAGTTCTTCATGGATGGCCTAATGGACGCCTTTAGATGTTCTCATGCAGCCAACTGCAACCCAGAAACCCTTAAAACACAATTTCGTCCCGGAGCGACTCAGTTCACCCCGTACCTGAGCTTATCGCACCTAAACAAGTAACAAACGACACAAATCCGAGATAACGCTTTGCTTACTCAATTAGCGGTAGGACAATTTATGGGAGCGCTGTTTTTGGACGCAAAAAATTGATCAAGGCCATCAAAGTGAGTGATCTACCTTGAGCTTTATTACCTCAACACAGGGAGTGCGGTGACGTCTTTATGGCCAAGGAACACGAAATGGGCGCAAAATTTATCTCAAAAATGAAGTTTTCAGCCGAATAACTGTTTTCTTTGAATACCGATCTGTCTTTTATGAATGACTCAAGTTCAATGACTTTTTTAGATCTCTTATTCAAGTGTAATTTCCAAGACACCACGTAAAAATTGCATGATTTTTTCTAAAAGTCTGTAGTGATATCGGCTTTCCGACATCGCTTGCCGATATAACGTAAATTAACCGATACAGGTTGGTAACACTGAACGATATTTCTTAGTGCTTTTAACTATAAGATTAGCTTTTGCGTTGTATACAGCTATACAAAATTGACCTCACTACATTCCAACTCCCGGGCGCGTCGCTGCGTTTGGTATCACGATGAAAAACTTAAGAGGGTTCAAGTTGATGCCCCATCCAGGCTCGTGTTTATGTGCATCCGAGTACCCCTTTTAAAATCTTACAAAAGAAACGCAATTTTGGAGATGCAGAATTCGTGTAAAAGCACGGCACCAACAATCTTACGAACCCACAGCATTGGCACTGGACCTCTTTTCCTCCCGTCACTCTTACACATGATGAGGTTCACGCGTATCAGCAGTAATCAGCACTGTATAAAGAAGGATTTGTACGTCTTGTGATAATGCGGACAGGCATCTCCATCCAGGCTTGTGTTTATGTGCATCTGAGTACCCCTTTTTACCCCAACCTTTCCTCCCAACCCCAACTTTACCCCAACTTTTCCTCTCACCAACGTGCAGCACTAACATCGGACACTCCGTGTTTTCGAGGGCAACGCCCCGCCCGTTCCAGCCTGCTCACCGTATCTCTGCCGTCGTGCTAGATGACTGGCACGTTGAGAAGGCTAACTGGCACGTTATGAAGGCTAAGACTAACGCTAATAATTCAGCGAAGGCGGCAGCATTTTCGGATCAATGTCAGTACTACTCTGGGTTTTTATTTTTTGCTCGGTGCTCTAATCCCTGAGCAATTCAGAATATGTTCCGTGCAAAACAGCACCATTAGCTGAAATATCTCAAATAAAGAATCGTTTACGACATCTTGCCCTGAGCGTTTCGTACACCTATAAGAATTGTTGCTGGGATGTTCACTGACGGCCAGGGCCGAGCCTGGTGAAACGCTCTAGCGAATACCATGAGTTAGGTGTTCATGACAAAAAATAATCCTGTTTGCAGGCGCCACATGCATTTTGCTGATCGTGGTTGCGTTGGCCGGAGCCAAAGTCCCAGATGGTCTGGACTTGAAGTTGCTGAAGGCATTGACGACTGATTTGAGCAAGAATCAGGCTATCGCCCCGTTCGTCATGTCCACGCTGGTGACACAGGTCTGGCTGGGAGCCGTGGGCGACGCCAGAAACGAGGTACGTGCCAGGTAACGAGCTCTATACACCGTACCACTGACTCAGGTTGTAAACGTATTGACACACTGATTCAGGTTGTCAAGTACACGTACATTCGTGGAGCGTGATAAGAAAAGTGCGCGGTGACCAAAAAAAGAACGCAAGGCTTCAATGGCGATGTGTTGAAAACTACAGTCCTTGCGACCGTTGCTACACCTACTGGGAAGCATTCCGCTCCCACGAGCACTAATCCGTGTAGGGAGCTCTTTCTATATGTTATCTATTGAGTGCTGCGATAAATTGGATGCAAAATTGAAGTGTTTTAATACGATTGTACACATTTGGCTTATCCTTAAAAAGGTCTAGATGCAAACATCTTGGCGCACTTGTGTGCTAGTTTCTCCTCGAGCGGCGAGTAACGTTTGGGTGCACATGCCTTATTTTCATGGGCTGCTTCTGATCAATTCAATGCCCTGTGAACCGCCACGTACGTTGAAACATTTGGGATGACAGAACATTTTTCTATGCATTTTAGGGATGTGTATCTTAAGCATACGGCTTGGTTAATGCTACACAAAAAGAAACACCCATGTCTTTTGAATAAATTATCAATTTTGTATGAATCTCTTGCCCACAGATAGCATCGGTCCTGGACATAAGGACAGAAGAGGAACAACTTGTGATAAGTTACAACCGTGCAATCAGAAGCCTCTCCGACAGCCCCAGTAGCGTCACCACAGGCGTCTTTAACCGGATTTACATAAGACGTGGCTTCAACATCAATCCGGTATTTAAGGACATTTTGCAATATTACTACCGCAGTGACGTCAAGAACATTTTATCGGCGACGCAGGCGGCGGATGAAATAAACACCGATGTCGCCAAGGCAACGAGAAACCGCATCAAGGATCTTGTGTCAGCGGATGCTCTGCAGGAAGCGGTCATGGTCTTGGTCAGCGCATTGTACTTCAAGGGCCTGTGGCTGACTCCGTTCGACAAGACCGTGAAGGAGCCGTTCCTCACGGCCTCAGGGGACAAGGAGGTCGACATGATGAAGCTTTTTACCCGGGTGCCGTACGTAAAGATGTCTAGTTTTGATGCGATCGCCTTGCCGTACAAAGACAAAAATTATGTAATGCTGATCTTGCGTCCACTGACACGTAACATGGCTGCCGTTTCCCGTCTGAGGGACTCTCTGGACTCCCTCGATGTCGCCGATATCATGAAGCGTTTGCGCTCATTATCCGTGCAAATAAGTATGCCTCGTTTCAAGATAACAGCAAGTTACGAGCTGCAGGAAACGATGTCCCAGTTGGGAATTCGCACTCTCTTCACGGCTAAAGCAGATCTGTTCACCATTGCCGACGGGCCGCTGACTGTCAGCAACATCATCCACAAGGTGTTTATTGAGGTGACGGAAAAAGGCACTGAAGCTGCCGGAGCGGGAGCTGTTACTATCGTAAGTACAAGCATACGGCCTCCACCCATTCAGTTCACTGCTGATCGTCCCTTCTTTGCCATTGTCTGGAATAAGAGACACATGATCAACATGTTCTCAGTGTACATGGCTTCACAATAGATGTGTGGCTTGCATGTTGGGAACTGTTCTGGTACAGCTCTTGCTCCGCAAGTGTGCATGGTGTGAGTAATTAAGAAGTGCATCTGGTGGTGCAGCTGCTACCAGTTCTGTCACGCACTAGAGGGAAAACTAAAACCCAAACAAATTGAAGTGACCAAGTTCACGGTTACAAAATACCAACTGACATGATCACCGTAACCTGTGTATTTAATCTTTCAAATAAGTTGGATACTGATCAACAAAAACATGCACTCAATGCGGTAGCGTTTTTGTCCAAAATTGGTTACATTTGTGCAGAAGTTTGCAACTCAACGTTGAGAAGCCGATAGCATGCTCGCTGTGCTGCAATGTATTTCAGGCAGAAATATGCCGTGAGTCTTTTTTAATCATTTAAAAAGGGAACGCAGTGTGCGTCGTCAAGCCTCTTTTTATAGAGCAGCAGCGACGGCATTGGTCACATTCTTTTCGTCTCTGTTCACACCACCGCTTGAGAAAATATATAAGCATGTTTTGTCGTTGTTTTTCACTGAAGGCTATTGAAAACTGTTGCGAAATGCACTAGCAGGCATAATCTGACGGCTTGATTAATGATAATGCTGCTAAAATGTATAAATAACGTTCACCTTCTTCAGAAATTGCACTTAAATCAGATTTCATCTACTTTTTTCGTACCTCGGATCACTTTGAATTCCGTTGCTATTAGTAAAGTGGCCTTTGCAAGATCAGATAATCCAAGGTTATGCTAGGTTACTTTGACATTTTTGACCCGATTTGACCATTTGATGGTCATATGATCGGTACCTTTGCGACCCAGACTGGTTTGTATGGCCTTTCTAGCAGTGTTTTTCTAATCGACGCAACGCTTTTAGTTCTAAATAGAACCGGTAGGGCCAATGGAACAGCGGATTTCACCCAGTTGACCTGACATGACATATCACAGACCACACGTGTCGCTGTCCAACAGTGTTTATGCCATGGACTTTTCCTGGAGGTGTTGAACACCGTCTTCGGCATTGTAGCATGCTTACTTTGGAGATGACAGGAAGGGTAAAAAGCGCTAACTTGACCTATTATGACTTGATTAGACATGTCAAAGGTCCCATTTCACATAGCTAAATCACAGCTATACACTACAGTTCGGGACGGGGCTTGGGGAACGTTTCGTAAGGCAAAGGTAGAAAACCGCCGTAGGGGGGGGGGGGGGGTTGACATCGCTGATGCATGAAAGCGGCGGGGGTGATAGGTATTTGGTGCATGCAACTAAACTTATTGTATAGCATATGGTACAGAAAATGTGATGTTCAGTAACACAGCATGAGGAAGATTATTAATAATCATAGACATAGTCGCATGTGAAAGAGCATGCCACCCGGACGGATCACAACGCTTCTGGACAACTTGAACAAGGGTTAAGCTGAATAGTGAATAACTGCCTTATCCCACGTTCCTGCCTTGCCATCGGCCACACAGCTTTAAAAGACAGTTTATGTTATGTCGCCGTTGTCGGTAGAAGGATTCTTCTTTTGTTTTGTTGTATTTATGCCATAAGGAGAATATATAATGGGCTTCGCCACGCTCCTTATATGTAGCCCCAACTGGGCGCAAAATGGCTTCAGAAATCGGCGCGCCCTAAAACCCCAATCGTCATCATTATATGCAGCCCCAGCGACTGCATCGACCACATTAGCGGTCAGGGCACTTAGCTCAGCCAGGGTACGGACTTCGGATCCCCGCGTGGGAGTCTGCCGCACTAACCATCGGCCATGAAGCCCCAGTCGTTCTAGGACACACTTGTTCCAAGTGGATTCACACGTGGGAGCCTGCCGCACTAGCCATCGGCCATGAAGCCCCAGTCGTTCTAGGACACACTTGTTCCAAGTGGATTCACACGTGGGAGCCTGCCGCACTAGCCATCGGCCATGAAGCCCCAGTCGTTCTAGGACACACTTGTTCCAAGTGGATTCCCACGTGGGAGCCTGCCGCACTAGCCATCGGCCATGAAGCCCCAGTCGTTCTAGGACACACTTGTTCCAAGTGGATTCACACGTGGGAGCCTGCCGCACTAGCCATCGGCCATGAAGCCCCAGTCGTTCTAGGACACACTTGTTCCAAGTGGATTCACACGTGGGAGCCTGCCGCACTAGCCATCGGCCATGAAGCCCCAGTCGTTCTAGGACACACTTGTTCCAAGTGGATTCCCACGTGGGAGCCTGCCGCACTAGCCATCGGCAATGAAGCCCCAGTCGTTCTAGGACACGCTTGTTCCAAATGGATCCCCGCGTGGGAGCCTGCCGCACTAACCATCGGCAATGAAGCCCCAGTCGTTCTAGGACACACTTGTTCCAAGTGGATTCCCACGTGGGAGTCTGCCGCACTAGCCATCGGCCATGAAGCCCCAGTCGTTCTAGGACACACTTGTTCCAAATGGATTCCCACGTGTGAGTCTGCCGCACTAACCATCGGCCGTGAAGCCCAGTCGTTCTAGGACACGCTTGTTCCAAGTGGATTCACACGTGGGAGTCTGCCGCACTAGCCATCGGCCATGAAGCCCCAGTCGTTCTAGGACACACTTGTTCCAAGTGGATTCCCACGTGGGAGTCTGCCGCACTAGCCATCGGCCATGAAGCCCCAGTCGTTCTAGGACACGCTTGTTCCAAGTGGATTCCCACGTGGGAGTCTGCCGCACTAGCCATCGGCCATGAAGCCCCAGTCGTTCTAGGACACGCTTGTTCCAAATGGATTCACACGTGGGAGTCTGCCGCACTAACCATCGGCAATGAAGCCCCAGTCATTCTAGGACACGCTTGTTCCAAATGGATTCCCACGTGCAGAACAGTCTGTTGTTTCCTGTACTACATTTGGCAGAATGATGAAACAGCGCCGCGTGTATCAATTTACATTGGAAGATAACAAGAAGTGGAAAACGGATGTTTTAACCTTAACAACGATTTAGCAAAATGGCGATCATCAAGGTTCCGGCGGCTGTTATAGTGAACAGAGAATGCAAGTCCTTTTATCACAAGAACAAGTTCGTCGTCGTCCGCGGTCGTTATTTTATCAGGTAAGTTATTCGCCGGCCTGTTTTTTATCAACCAGTTCAGAATGCTAATCGGGAAGATGTATTCACAGGCTCACGTGAATCGCAGACGATGAGAGATTTTCACGTGGTGGTCGACGTTAAGCAGACGCGACATAAGCGCATTTCTGTGGCCCCTCGCGCAGCGAGCAGCGTACCCCACCGAGCCAACTGTCAACCTTTAGCGACCGCTGCTGGAATTCACCCGACCGGTTACAGTTCAGACAGCGTCAAGTCAAAGGTCAGACGAGCAGAGCTTGGCTCTGACGTTAGAGCACACGTTACAGCAGACTGTAGCCACAGTAAAGCAGTGAACGATTTTTCGTTTTGATGTACATGAAAACTGCCACAGCGCATAGACCACAGGAACGGACATCGAAAAGGCTATAGCCTACCTATCTACGGCAGATGGCTACGGCCGACGGCCAAGGCTAAACAATGGCAGCAACTCATCGCAACAACAGCAGTTACCTTCATCACACTTTACGCAGTCCTCGCGGAATATCTTACCACAAACTGAACTAAACTTTGATCATCATGCCAGCCGAGTTAGAGCCTCACTGAAAGAGCTTAAAGCAAAACTGCTTAGCCTACGCCCCGATACGCCGTTTTCATAATGCGGACGGATAGGGGACTTGATGCGACCACCCTGGTATTTCGAAAGTAAGGGAGATAGAGCTCAGTGAAAAACGCCAGTGGGTTGACCTCAACAAGATCTCGCGATTGGTGCCAATTTTTATATTGCTAGATCAATAACTAACTATACTAATACAATAACTAATAACTAATTACTATGTAACTAAAACTAAACCATATCTAATTACTACATAACTAATAACTAAATACTATGTAACTAAAACTAAACCATATCTAATTACTACATAACTAATAACTAAATACTATATAACGTTATATAACTACTACAATAACTAACTATGGCAGGGGAAATGTTGAATTACCCCGAAAATGACACCTTTTCAGCTTTATATCATACCGGCAAGAACATGCCTTTTGGCGACACGAAACCTAAACAGGTGTGATCCTTGTTTCATTCTAAGTACAACGGTGTATACTGTTATGTGTTTTGAGCACCAATTTAGGATAACGGCTCCCTTAATATAACAATGACGACCCGCCCAGCGTGTTCCGTGAAATCGTCTGCTGCCACCCGCGCGCCCGAGCCGGCCATAGATCGCCTTGCAGTGTTTTCCCAAACCGCCGCTGCTCCGAAACCAGAAAAACTGGGAACACGTGCTGAGTATAAAAAGCGCAATAGATGTCCTATCAGCTAACGAAAATTTGGGCGATTTTGACACATGCCAGAGAGGCATGCTAAAAATGCCTTAGGGGGGCGCATCACCCAGGTCGGTCAAGGCGAGGGTTAACACGCACTCGGGCGTCCAGTTGGGTACCCTTCGCTCGGGTGGGGGTCAATTTGAACCCACCTGAGATCTCAGGAACTAAGAGGGCTAGAGACACCAAATTTATAGGCTGTGTCGGTCTGTGTGTGAACGCAATCAGATCAAAATGCGAAATTCTTAGGCCATGACCTTCGGGTCAAGCAAGGTCAAACAAGGCCAAGGTCCAAGTTGGTTTCCAAAGTGTCCCCAGAACCTAGACACCTGTTCTAAGCCAAAGATAACGCGCTCATTTAAGTTCGGTGACCTTATGACCTTTCTAAGGCCATGGTGACTGAAATAATAAAGCACCGCTTAAATTTTGCATTTGAATAAGCGATAAAAATTACGCTAGGCAGCATGTTGCTAAAAACGTAATATTTAAACTGAATCGTTTTAGGTTAGTGACCTATAATGACCTTAAAGAAGTCCATGGAAGATGTCTCATGCGGATTCTACTGTCAATTTATTCGAAATGAGCGACAGAAACTATCCCATACAACAAGCCCTAAGGGGATAAAGCAGGTTGGTTTTGACGTTGGCCTTTTGGTCTTAATACCTGTTCTTATGTCAATGAAATTTGGTCATTCAATTCTTTTGCTTCTGAAGCTAATATCTCAGATGTTTAGCTTTCCCTAACACTTAGTTGTCCCAACAGATTGAGCGATTTCCTAGAAAGTTTGACCTTTGCCTTTTGATCTTCATACCTGACACTGGGTCAATGTAGTTCGGTCATTCATTTTTTTGTTTCCTATGCAAGTATCGCAGAGACGTTTAGTTTGTCCTAACACCCAGGTGCTCAAACAGATTAAACGATTTCCCAGAAATTGACTCCTCTGAACTCATGGCCTGACTTTGACCTACCGTAGGTTAGTGACCTTACAAGGCACATCTAATTTTTTGATACTTCACGATCCGCTATTCGATCGTCTCCAGCTATGCAAAAATTGGCGCGGCTGCGCTGCGTTGCTCGGGAAAAAAATCCTGTAAAAACCTTCGGAGTATCAATTTGACTCCCTTCCGAGCGCGTGTTAAGGGGTCATTCCACCTTTTTGTACGGTTCGCCTTGTTGTTACATCAGAGTAGCTCTTTCCAAGGCGCACTTTGGCCTTGAGAATATGATTATCACATGATCCACGCAACGCAACCGGTTCACGCTTCAACCAATGCGTTTCTCGGTGACAGGCCCTTTCACGCCGAATCAACCACAAACGTTCCTTTACTCGCCCCAGTAGAGGTACGCACGGTGGTCGTCATGACGACGGCGGTAGCGACTGCAGGGAAGAAGTGTAGTACTGTTACAAGGCGTTGACAGAGTAATTTGGACTCGAAAACAATCATGATTTACAACCATATTGTCTTGACAGCACTGCAGTGGCACTGTCCTGTGCTTTTACCAGACTTAACCAGTCATGAGGTTTCAATGTAGTATGTTTTCGAGACATACCCCAAAGGTGGGACACTTTCTTTAAGGCATGCAAATATCACATGTAAAAATTCAGGGTTAACGGTACCCAATAAGTAAGAAGTAATGTAAGCTTGACGAGAGCATGCCATTTTTGTACTTGCCACTCATTATTGTATCAGACGTGTCGGATTTGATCGCTACTACCAGTTTGCTCGTAATCCTTCTGAATAGCTCAGAATTGCGATTTAAAGTAGCTGTTCCTGCGGGAGAAGCTTTATTGGA